TTACATAAAGTCATTTGTAACTCTTGGGTGCTAACTAATTAACTACTCCGTAATGAGCTATTTGCATTTGATTTTCCCATTGTTGAGTACTAGATATGCAAGCTAAGGCAATATTATTTTTTTTTTTTTATATGGTATCGGACCCCAATTGCAAGCTCCTATCACTGGAAACTTAGCTGACAATGCCCTAGAGGGGTATGGGGTGAGATTTGTTGTTGACGAGGATCGAACTTTGCACCTCGAGGATGCAAAGCGACCTCTTGTGCTATTGCACCAAGAGGTCCCTCAGTAAACATAATACATAGAGCCACACAAAAGCGTGAAAAATTAGACTTTAATTTGATGTGTTACTGGCCTTATCCTGATTGCGAACCACTAAAGTTGTGAAAGTAATGCCCTCTATTAGGTCCATGTCAAGATCGAGTAAATTAACTGTATCAGAAAAAAGGGTACTTGAAAGATCAAGAATAGTCATTAGATTTTACATTATCATGTATACAAAGGCAACTAGCGAACAAGTATGATCATCAATGATCTATATGCGTTTAAGCTTAACCAGAGTAGTAACTTGCATTTTGCTGCAATCCACTTGTAACAAGACAGTATCACATCATTAAATGCAACCCCACACCCCTTTATCTCTAAGAGTTCATTGACTTTATTGATAGTTTGTACTGACAATTTGTAAGCTGCTCTCCTAATTGCTTTTAAGCTCACTTTTGATTTCAATTGGCAAGTAAATGTATTATACTATCTCCGTCAGGGGCGGATCTAGGGGGGGTTCAAGGGGGTTCATTGAACCCACAGATTTTTTGGAAAAAAATTATAAATTTTAATTTTTTTTTAAAAAAAAATAAAAAGGTTTAAAAGAAATTTTTGTGAGAATAATTATCACATGGTAAGTTTGGTGCATTGGTAATTCTCTGAATAATAGAGCGTCGCGCCCCTTTAATATATTAGGTCTTAGGTTCGACTCCTACTGCCCTCTTTTTTTTGTACTTTTTTTTTTTTTTTATTACTCCTTACATTCACATTTCAATATTTCATATTTCAAAAATCAAACATCAGACATTTTTCCCCAAATTCCCAAACACCAAAACCCTAAACTTGCTTGACACCCTATGACCCTAGCCAGTAGCCACTAGCCGCCGCGGGACCGCACACCGAGACACCGACCGGCGACCACCTCACGTCCACACGGAGTGACGGAGACACGGACGAGTGGACAAGGGACGACTCACGACTGTTCTGTCTTCTACTCTTCTGAGTTCAGATTTCAAGTTCTTCTAGTTCTACAATTGTGAGTCCTCTTAATCTCTTATTCCTCTACTAGTCTACTCCTATTAATTCTTAATCTTGGTTTGCTTGTTTTATTTTTTAAATTGGTTTATGGTTTTGATATATTGTTGAATTCTTGAATTGTTGAGAAATTGAATTGTAGAAAGTTAGAAGTTAGAAACTTAGAATTATAAATTTTTACTTGTTCTGTTAATTGAAATTTGATAATTAGAAGAAGTTTATATTGTCAAATTTGTGTTTATTGGGGACTTGTGATTTTAATTGATAATTAATTGTGTATTTTGTGTATTATTGTAGATTGTAGAGCTTTTGTTACTATGATTATAATTGATGATTAACTAGAAGAAGTTTTTTTTCCCCAAATTCCCAAACACCAAAACCCTAACCTTGCTTGACACCCTATGACCCTAGCCAGTAGCCACTAGCCGCCGCGGCACCGCACACCGAGACACCGACCGGCGACCACCTCACGTCCACACGGAGTGACGGAGACACGGACGAGTGGACGAGGGACGACTCACGACTATTCTGTCTTCTACTCTTCTGAGTTCAGATTTCAAGTTCTTCTAGTTCTACAATTGTGAGTCCTCTTAATCTCTTATTCCTCTACTAGTCTACTCCTATTAATTCTTAATCTTGGTTTGCTTGTTTTATTTTTTAAATTGGTTTATGGTTTTGATATATTGTTGAATTCTTGAATTGTTGAGAAATTGAATTGTAGAAAGTTAGAAGTTAGAAACTTAGAATTATAAATTTTTACTTGTTATGTTAATTGAAATTTGATAATTAGAAGAAATTTATATTGTCAAATTTGTGTTTATTGGGGACTTGTGATTTTAATTGATAATTAATTGTGTATTTTGTGTATTATTGTAGATTGTAGAGCTTTTGTTACTATGATTATAATTGATGATTAACTAGAAGAAGTTTTTTTTCCCCCAAATTCCCAAACACCAAAACCCTAACCTTGCTTGACACCCTATGACCCTAGCCAGTAGCCACTAGCCGCCGCGGCACCGCACACCGAGACACCGACCGGCGACCACCTCACGTCCACACGGAGTGACGGAGACACGGACGAGTGGACGAGGGACGACTCACGACTGTTCTGTCTTCTACTCTTCTGAGTTCAGATTTCAAGTTCTTCTAGTTCTACAATTGTGAGTCCTCTTAATCTCTTATTCCTCTACTAGTCTACTCCTATTAATTCTTAATCTTGGTTTGCTTGTTTTATTTTTTAAATTGGTTTATGGTTTTGATATATTGTTGAATTCTTGAATTGTTGAGAAATTGAATTGTAGAAAGTTAGAAGTTAGAAACTTAGAATTATAAATTTTTACTTGTTCTGTTAATTGAAATTTGATAATTAGAAGAAATTTATATTGTCAAATTTGTGTTTATTGGGGACTTGTGATTTTAATTGATAATTAATTGTGTATTTTGTGTATTATTGTAGATTGTAGAGCTTTTGTTACTATGATTATAATTGATGATTAACTAGAAGAAGTTTTTTTTTTCCCCAAATTCCCAAACACCAAAACCCTAACCTTGCTTGACACCCTATGACCCTAGCCAGTAGCCACTAGCCGCCGCGGCACCGCACACCGAGACACCGACCGGCGACCACCTCACGTCCACACGGAGTGACGGAGACACGGACGAGTGGACGAGGGACGACTCACGACTGTTCTGTCTTCTACTCTTCTGAGTTCAGATTTCAAGTTCTTCTAGTTCTACAATTGTGAGTCCTCTTAATCTCTTATTCCTCTACTAGTCTACTCCTATTAATTCTTAATCTTGGTTTGCTTGTTTTATTTTTTAAATTGGTTTATGGTTTTGATATATTGTTGAATTCTTGAATTGTTGAGAAATTGAATTGTAGAAAGTTAGAAGTTAGAAACTTAGAATTATAAATTTTTACTTGTTCTGTTAATTGAAATTTGATAATTAGAAGAAATTTATATTGTCAAATTTGTGTTTATTGGGGACTTGTGATTTTAATTGATAATTAATTGTGTATTTTGTGTATTATTGATAACTAGAAGAAGTTTTTTTTTTCCCCAAATTCCCAAACACCAAAACCCTAACCTTGCTTGACACCCTATGACCCTAGCCAGTAGCCACTAGCCGCCGCGGCACCGCACACCGAGACACCGACCGACGACCACCTCACGTCCACACGGAGTGACGGAGACACGGACGAGTGGACGAGGGACGACTCACGACTGTTCTGTCTTCTACTCTTCTGAGTTCAGATTTCAAGTTCTTCTAGTTCTACAATTGTGAGTCCTCTTAATCTCTTATTCCTCTACTAGTCTACTCCTATTAATTCTTAATCTTGGTTTGCTTGTTTTATTTTTTAAATTGGTTTATGGTTTTGATATATTGTTGAATTCTTGAATTGTTGAGAAATTGAATTGTAGAAAGTTAGAAGTTAGAAACTTAGAATTATAAATTTTTACTTGTTCTGTTAATTGAAATTTGATAATTAGAAGAAGTTTATATTGTCAAATTTGTGTTTATTGGGGACTTGTGATTTTAATTGATAATTAATTGTGTATTTTGTGTATTATTGTAGATTGTAGAGCTTTTGTTACTATGATTATAATTGATGATTAACTAGAAGAAGTTTTTTTTTTTTTTTTATTGTGTAATCCATCCATTTGTAATAAAAAATTGAATTTATGTATTGAATTTTTAATCAATATATGGTCATCGTTTTTTTTTAAGATTTCGAACCCACAGTTCGGAAATCCTGGATACGCCACTGATCTCCGTCTTTTCTTTGATCACATAATTCGGCATAAAATTAGAAAATTCATCCATTACCATACTTTCATAATAGATGCGCTTTTTTTTTAAAAAATAAAAATTATGCTAATACACGATAATTTATTTATTCAGGACAGAAGAAATAATCCATATAATATAACTCCGTAAAAACAAAGACAATGTTTTAAGACTTCCAACTCTTAGCTTCCTACTCCTTATAAAATAGGATTACTATATTAACTAACTAGGTTAGAACCCGTGCGATGCACGGTTTATATAAAATCTATTTTTATAATTTGTACATTTTTTAAAAAATGGATAAATGTAAATAAGAATTATGCACCTTGAACAAAAATATATGTACTTTTAAAATTTTAGATTTTTATCAAAATTATGATATAATACCTGTTCAACGTCACTTAATACATATTTCAATGTAGGAGTCTATTTATTAGTGTGTTACTTAAAATTATTTCATTTTTTAAGAATAAATTGATAGGTTGTATTTGTAATGTAGAAGGTTCTAATATTCAAATTTCAAAATTATTAAATATGATAATTCCAAAAAAAAATATGACATCATTCTTGTATTTAGGCGGAAATTTTTTTATCATGAGAGTGACATATCGACAGTAATAACGTCAGCAACGTTTTATTTTAGTAATAGTAGTAATAGTTAATAAATGATAAAAATATACAAAAATAAAGGTAAGCAATCACATAGTTGTGAGTGAAGATATAGTTAAGATATAAGAATCAACATTTGATTTCATGCCAATTTCATTTCGTAGACCAAGGCAGAGTCACGCCCACACGCGTAGTACCCCTTTGACCCTTTGACTTATTGACCCCCCCTTTATTACTCTTCAAACCTATAAAGAAAATTAAACTAATTATATAATACTCCAATTAATAATCAATCCAAAAGCACTTAAAAGAAAGAAGGGCGAAAGCAGAAAAGTCACACTTTCCTCCCTTCTTCCTTTGGCCGGTGCTCCTTTCCTTTATAAGAGCCGCCCTTACCTCTCTCTCCTCCAAAACAACACCAGAATCACTCATTCATTATTCACTCAATTTCTTCTCAGTCAAACCTATCATATATATTTTCCATATTGATTATATCTCATATCTCTAACAACTTATAATCTTACTCCGTATTTGGAGTCATGGGTATGGATATCTCCCAAGAACAAGTCTGTAATAACACATCAACATTACTCGAATACGCGGCTTCCGACGATATTAACAGCTTTAAACTCGCCGTTGAGTCGGGTGGTCTGCCGATTGATGAGGTGGGTGTTTGGTACACTCGTGGAATTGGAACCAACAAAATGTCTTACGAAGAGCGGACACCACTTATGGTGGCCGCTCAATATGGTAGTAACAATATTCTTGATTTTGTACTTCAATTTGGTGGTGATTCGGTTCATGTTAACCGAGTTTCCGGGTCTGATCGGGTCACCGCCCTTCACTGTGCAGTGGCTGGTGGCTCTCACAATTCTCCTTATGTCGTTCACCGCCTTATTTCGGCTTCCGCTAACACCAACATCGTTGATGCTAACGGTATTATTTCTTATCTTTATCAATTGCTTGTATTATTGTTATGGAATATTTTTATTATTTGTCTTCTTTTGAATTAGTGATTGATTATTTTTTGTTGTTGTTGTTTTGTTCAGGTAATAGGGCGTCTGATTTAATCCACATGTTTCCAAAAATACCCTCGAAGAACAGTTATAAGCAGCAGCTTGATGTTCTGCTGAAATCTGGGTATTCTGATTCAGATTCTGGTTCAGTTTCCGGGTTCAGTTCTGATTCCGAGTCCGATTCCAAGAAGGAGTTTGCAGTTTCTGAACTGCCGGATATTAACAATGGAGTTTACGGAAGTGATGATTTTAGGATGTATTGTTTCAAGATTAAGCCGTGTTCGAGGGCGTATACTCATGATTGGACGGAGTGCCCGTTTGCTCACCCCGGTGAGAATGCAAGGAGGAGAGACCCGAAGAAGTACCAGTACACTTGCGTGCCGTGCCCCGAGTTCAAGAAGGGGAGCTGCAAGAAGGGAGAGGAGTGTGAGTTTGCTCATGGTGTGTTCGAGTCGTGGTTGCATCCGGCGCAGTATAGGACTCGTTTGTGTAAGGATGAGATTGGGTGTGCTAGGAAGGTTTGCTTCTTTGCTCATAAGAGGGAGGAGTTGCGCCCTGTGTATGCTTCTACTGGTTCCGCGATTCCTGATGTGAATGTGTCGTCGTCTCCTGGTGGTGGGTTTAGTTGTACATCCACTCCTCCGATGTCCCCTTCATTTGCTCCGCTTTCCCCTAGCAACGGAGCATCAGGGGGTGCAGGAGGGATGTATCAGGGGAAGTCGGGTTTTGGTGTCACACCTCCTAATCTACAATTACCTGGTAGTAGACTAAGGTCTAGCTTTAGTGCTAGAGATGTGGAGTTGGAAAGAGAGCTGATCAAAATCGAGTCGCAGCTCATGAACCAACAACATCAGTACCAGCAGCAGCAACAACACCAGCATCAGCAAGTTCTTTCACCTAGGCCGTCTCCTAGGTGGAACAACAACAATATGGGCAGGGCTAATGACATGATGCAGGCTACTAATCTCGAATCAGCTTTTGCTTCGATCAATGTAGCAAGGAAGATGTCACCCCCAAGTGTATTGGATTCACCTCTCAATTCTCCAAGGAAGTTGTCACCTCCAAGGGCTCTTGACTCCCCTAAGTCAATGGCTGCAGCAATGCTGAACTCGCGAGCTGCAGCCTTTGTTAAGCGTAGCCAGAGCTTCATTGACAGGACAGCTCCAGGATCACCAATGGGTGGTAATATGTCAAATCCAATGTCGACCCCTATGTCCAATTGGGGCTCGCCGAATGGAACATTGGATTGGGGGATCCATGGAGAAGAGTTGAACAAGCTAAGGAAATCGAATTCATTTGGTTTTCGTGGTGCCAACAATAACAATGCCAATGCCACTAGAACTTCCCCACCCGGCTTCAATGAGCCGGATGTTTCTTGGGTGAATTCTCTGGTGAAAGACGAGGCTGGTGCCGGGTTTTTGGGAGCAAGGTCGCCGAGTTATGGTCGTAGTGGTGCAGGAAATGGTGCTCAAGGTCAGGATATGTGTTTACCATGGGAGCAAATGTACATAGAAGAGCAGTTGGTTAATTGAAGGAGGTTTTAGGCCTATGCTAACTAAACTATTGAATTCTATTATTTGAATTTATTGTTATATAGAGTATATTTTAAGGATTAGGGGAGGAAAATTCGATTGAGGGAAGATCAGATTCAAAGAATTTTAAGGGATTTTCTCTGATTGTATAGTAGTACTAAGCAAAATCTATTCATTTCATTGTTTTTCTTTTAGAATAAGGATATTTGATATGTTTGTAGGACAATTCTTTCCTCTCATGGAATTTGATTGTTTATCTTTTGCTAGTAATGTGTTTAATCAGTATAATTATCTCTTGTTATTATTATACCTTATATAAACACATTGATCAACAGTTATACAATAATAAGCAAGATTTCTCGAGTTATGAAGATTTTCTTTTGAAAGTCAAATGTAGGCATTTTTGGAGTTATTGATCAATGTCACCAAGCAATTTCTAAGAATTGGTTGACAAGCAAAGATGATGAAAGCTTATGAACTACATCCCTTTATGGTTTTAGGTTGGTTCAAAATTGGAATCTTGATAGTTTAACGCATACTAGTATCTTCCATATCCTATAAGTTTTCTATCATTCTTAAATCCATTATTATTCTATGGTCAATGGGACACACACGATAATCAATAGATAATTTTCATAAGAGCATGGTTTAGTTTAAAATGGCATATTACTAACTTAGATAAATGTAAGCTTGACAAAACCCAAATAATTAGTTGACGATAGTAGTTATGTTACTCGAGTAAAGAAATCTATATTTTGTTAACATCCCCATGGACACATTGTTGTCAGAACTAGTTCCATTAAGCTAAATCCAACCAATTCCTCATATTAGTAGACCAGAAACAAATTATTAATGACATAATTGACTTTAATACATATAATGAGGGTCTCTAATTATTGAAAGTCTTCGAAAAGAGGAAAAAGTCACATAATTGTTGTCCACATAAAAACAGGGTAAGGAAAACCAAATGATGGGCTGTATTTTGTTGAATTCTTACCCCTTTTTTTTCTTCTTATTCTGTTATATATATAAAAAAATAAAATAAAAATGTATGTACAAATTTCTTATGCATGACCAAATGATGCAAAATAATCAAACATAATTGTAGTAGCAATATAATCTAAGTGGGACCCAGAGTCAAAATTTTCTAATAATAGTGGGGTCTATGCTGGAGAATGAGAGGAAAGTAAATGCAAAAGGCTGTCACTTGCAACAAATGGCGCGTGGGTCCCAAAAAGTAATTATTTTTCTGTTATAGTCCTACTAAAATTTCAATAATAGTAAGATAATGGAATGAGCTGGTTCTACTTTATAGCCGCCCACATGGGAACACAATTTTGGATTTTAGGTTGAAGTTTCATGGAATACATAGTAAAGTAGGTTTTTAAATGATTAGTTCCTACAGATAATTTAGTGTCTTTTAATTTTGTAAGATAATGAAATGGATTATGTTGAACATGTGATTCTAGCCTTTAGAAATTTTCAGGACTAGTTAGCAATCTTGAGAGTAGCCAAGTAGGAAAATGGAGTAGATAATTTTTCACGAACTATTATTAAGAGCATCTGCGCTAGTTGTGAACTGCTTGCAATTTTCTATTTCTCTTATGAGCAACAATGTTGTAGCCTGCAAATTCTTTGTAGCTTGTTAGCTTGTCAAAGGTACATTTTTTTAATATAAGGTAAGAAGAAAGAGGAACATAGGAAATTCACCGTATGAGGAGAATTCGTATGAAGGGAATTCCTAATGTGTCTGAACAGAGGATGGAATTTAAAGAAGAGTTGTTACAAAAACTAATGTATATAGTTCTATTTAATAAGTAAATGACTGACGTTAGTAACCGTAGCTGTCGCTCTATTTACCTCTCGATATATACGACGAATGCTCCGATTGTCAAATTTGCTAAGGAGGTAGCTAATGAAGTTAAATTTTTCGATAAAAAAATTATGAAAAATAACAATCAGGGCATTGCTCGAGACATTCTCATAATTAAAATCAAAGAAACACATAAGAGCATTTGATTTGCAATGTGATACGGGGTTAAAAATAGGATTGAACCATAATGGTACAAGTTTAGAATTTGATTCTTAATACTATATGTTTGGTTTGCCTTTTGACGGTTAGATGTAGTAAGAGTAATGAGTTTAAAATTCTTAGAATTATAACTAAACACAAATACGATATGGACTTTGAACCATTCTAAGACCTGTTCAATGGGTTAGGGGCCTATTTAAAACCCTGACCCAGCCATTTTATAAAAGGACTTTATCCATTCAATATTTAAATGGGACGAGCTTTTAAAGGATTATTAAATAATAGACTTTTAAAGGGTTGGGTGTTAGGTCTGAGTTAAAAATGTTAAAATTGGGTAACTCTTATAAGACTTTTTTTATCCTAATTTTTCTGTTTCTAAAACTTCCTAACATCAAATTATAATACCTTAAAAATAAAAATTCTCAATTTTCCCAAATTATAAACCCTAAAAAATTCCCAATTTCCCCCAAAAATAAAAAATTAAACATTTTCTCTCTTTTCTTATTCACCAGCAAAAATGTATGAACCCTAAATTCTTTTTCCTACTCGAATCGCTACTCGAGTTCTTCGCTCTGATTCTCACAAATTGCTACTCTAATTCTTCGCTCCAAAGAATTTAGGTTTGAACTGAGCTGCTGTTCGAGTTGGAGTTGCTGGCTGGTTGTTCGACGACGACGGTGGAATCCACGACTGTGACGAAGGAAATTCCTTTTTTTTAACAAGTGACGAAGGTAATTCCTTTTTTTGAACAAGTATTTTAGATTTTAATTGATGGTTTATTTGTAGTACCCGTATTTATTTAATGAAATTAGGAATTGTTCGATTTTCATTTTCTTCAATATGAAATTGAATTGAAATCGGATTGAATTTGTGGAATAAATTCATGGATAGATCCTTAAGTTTGTTGATATAATTTTTGGTTCAATTTTGGATTGTTTGTTTCGTTGTGCCCCAATATAAATGTTCAATTGACTTGGATTCAGGAATAGTAATTCGAATAATTAATTGAAATCCCAATAATTACTGGAATTGGTACTGTTGTTGTGTAATCGGGTCATCTTGAGGAATCCTCATTTGCGATTGTTGTTGAATAGTACTAGTATTAAATCATACAATTCATTGCAATGATGTATAGGATACTGTAAATGTCTGAAGGAAAGTCTAAGCGTAGAAGAACATGTTGTGAGAAAAATGTGGTGAGCACCATTTGTCATTTTAGATTATTAATGGTCTGCTTGAACTGTGTAGGTTGGCTCAGAGGAGGCTGGTTATATGTTAGATTATTAATGGTCTGTGGTTTTGTTATGATGTTGTTGACTAAGACCCTTTAAAGGCCCTTTATAAGGCCCCTTAAAGGCCCTTTATAATTCTCTTATATTGTGTTTACTTCATGGTTGTTGTAGTTTGTTTATACATTCTGAATGGGCCGGGATGGGCTTAATGGCCCATGGACAAGCTCGGCCCATTTTAGATTAGGCTTGGCCCGGCCCAGCTCGGCCCGTTGAACAGGTCTACTCATGCTTATACCTAAATTTCGTGAACCAAACACCCTTCTAATTACACGGGAATTACAGGCCCCTTTCTCTCAGTTTTTCCATTGAAGCGCACTCCAAGTTCTCCACTGATATTACTATCCTCCATTGAAGCAGCTTTTGAGGTGAGTTGTTATTTCTTTTTGTAATCATCGAATATCAATTTCACAATCTAGGGTTTATCGTTGATCTACTTTGATTTAATTGTCATTACAGTAAATTTAGGGTTTCAATTTTTGAACTATTGGTTCTAGTTACTACGGAGCGATTATGTTGCTAGAGAAGAAATTATGAGCCTGATTTGATAATTGAATCAAATGTTCCTTTTCTCTCTCAAATTATGTGATTTAATAACCGAAACAAATTTGGTTGATAATTGAACTATGAAATTGGACCTCTTCTCCCATTACTACTACTGTTTAATTGGAAATATGAATTTGGACCTCTTCTCCCAACAATGAACAATGATACAGTTAGAATTAGATTCATCTCAATAAATTAATCCAAAAGAAAATCATTTTATGGTTTATATGCTGTATTTATAGGTAGTGATAAATAATAATGATCAAAGTTAGCAAGGTTTGATCTTTGATGACTCAATATTATTTTGAGATGGGATGAGTGAAACTTGAAAACAATCATCAGTTTGGTAAGAGGCGATTTGCAATATAATTCATGGTTGAATATATCTATCTTTTCTGATGTATGCTTGACAAACAGACATTGGATTTTATCAAAGTCTTTATTTTTATCAATTAAGAGATGTCTTCAGGATTCAGGACAGGGTAATCAAAATTTTATGATCTATTCTTGACTTGTGCTGACCATATATGTCAACTTAGGCCATTCGAAGAAGATAGGAGGAAGTACTTTGCATTACGTATCCTGTTATAAGGTAATCAACTTTGTAATGCACATAATGGCTAGAGTCTGAGAAGTGGGAACCACTAATGTTACAAATGCTCTTGAGTGATCTTTGCTGACTACGTAGTAAATTGTTATTCTAGTCTGTTGGTGCCTTGCATTTGATGGAGTATTCTTTCTGGCATTGAGCTGTTTTAATGTTGTAATTAATTTCAGGTTCATCATGGAAATTCATACTCATCTTGGAACTGCAAATACCTCTAACAGGATGTTTGCTGGTAAGTTGTTTTTTTTTTTTTTTTTTTTTTCCATGCTAATAATTATGCCAGTTTTGCTTAGCATGACTATAGCTGTGTTGTTTATCATTTATCAGTGGTAATTATTTTAATTATTCCATTTGATATCTGTGATGTAACCTTAGTATTAGTAGGCCATATTGTAATATCTTGTGCTTTTGGTTTCATTTTAATGTTCTGTTAAGTCTTGTGAAGGTTTCATGTTACTGTGGATGTATGAAAAATTGGATTGGGAAGAATGCTTTATTTTGTTGATTCGTCATATGTCATGCATGGAAGTCAAACTTGTGTCTTGTTAACTTAGTAAATTTAAATTATAATTTACTGTATGGTCATTTTCTATAAAGAATCTGATGCAAGAACTATGGTTCAGTTCTTTACCAGGATGGCAGAATTTAAGATGATGCTATTACCCGATAGTTGGGTGATTACGTCATGTCCTTGCTATTTCATTACTTGTAGGCATGCTTAAGAGACAGCAACATTTATTAAGGCTTCAGTTGAGGAATAAAAAAGTTCTAGCATCATCTGAGACGTTGAAAGTTCCTCCTATATCTACGAAGTATGGAAAAGATCAACCTCTAGTCAAGATGTGCGGAATCACGTCTGCTAGAGATGCTGCAATTGCAGCTGAAGCTGGTGCTGATTTTATTGGGATGATTATATGGCCAAAATCTAAACGTTCTGTTTCTCTTGCAACTGCAAAGGAGATTTCAGAGGTTGCTAGGAAGTATGGGGCTGAGCCGGTTGGGGTATTTGTGGATGATGATGCTGACACTATTTTAAGAGCTGCTGCTGCATCGAACATAGAATATGTCCAGGTATTCAAGACATGAATACTTTTCCCATAGCTTTTTCAACATTCTAATCTGTGCAACTTTAAAGTTATGCAGCTTCATGGGAATGGTTCACGGAGTTATTTCCCGCAGTTGGTGAAGGAGAATCGAGTTATATATGTTCTTCACTCTGATAAAGATGGGGTGCTCCTGAATAATATTTCTCAAGAAGAAGGTTCTTTAGTAGATTGGATTCTTGTAGATAGTGCAACTGGAGGAAGGTATGTCCCTTTTTACCATTATGCATAATTCAGCTTATAAAATGGCATTAGCCAGCATTATTGTAGTAGCACCAAGCTATAATCCTTTAACACATTTATGAGTAAATGTAAATGATTGTTGGCTTGTTGCCCTCCTTGATCCAAGTACCGCTGTCTTTGATCTAAGAGGGCATGTTTAATCATCCTCTAGTTCACTTTATTAGGTTTATTGTGTAAGGTTAAGGACTGAAACTTTTGGAGTTGATTCCGAAGTTGCCTTGCCGGTGAAGTCACAAGGGCAAGTTGACTGTAATCACCCACCTAGCTAACCTATTACCTTTATAATTACTGCATTACTCGATAGTTTTGCATTTTTCCTTAGCTGGATATAATTTTTGTTTCACCACCCATAGATGGGTGTCTCTATGTGAAAAAATATTTAGTTTAATACTTTAATTACAAGACTTTTTTACCAGTAGAATACTGGGAGGCAGCTTGAATTCCTTAATGCTTTTGCTTTGATCCCCAATTTCCTACAGATGCTTCTTCTTTCATGTAATTAATTTCGTTATCCACTCCACTAGTTTTATGAAAGAAGATGGACACTCTATTTACTGATATTTGCAATTTATTCTTGGCAAGTCAACTTGTTCCTTGCCATTGATGAAGTTATAGGCAGCCTCAAATATTATAACCATCTCCTATTCCTACTCCAAAACCTCCAATTAGTACAGTAATCCAAATAATTTTCTCTGTGTAGCTGTGTGCTTAATGATTTTTGGGATATATTTTGCTGGAAAGGTGTACTTATCTGTCCATATCCTCTCAACCCCCCTCCCCCTTCCGGGTTCAAAAGTCCTTACAGTTGTGGTTTGTTTCACTTTGCCAATTTTTATTTTCAGTGGGGAAGGATTCGATTGGACGCAGTTTAAATTGCCATCAATAAATAGCAAACATGGTTGGCTATTGGCTGGAGGAATTAAACCCGAGAATGCTCAGGATGCTCTTCTTATCCTTCGTCCGAATGGAATTGATGTTAGTAGTGGCATTTGTGCTGCAGATGGCATCAAGAAGGACGAGTCACGGATATTTGCTTTCATGAATGCAGTAAAATCAGTGCAGTACTGATTTTAGTGTTAGATAGGTCTAATTTATCATCCCAAATAGTTTCCTTTTTCTTTTGTAGGCAACCTCCCTTCCCAGGGATAGTATTGGATACATTTTGACCTTTCTAAACCCAGTCATTGAAGGAATGTATTGAAATTTGTACTAGATTTCATGTAGAGGCCATATGAGAATTAGTTTACTTAGTGTCCGAACTGGTAGAGCACTCATTTGAAGGTGATCCTTGGTTCGAGAAACTTGTTAAGGGAAAAGGTTGGGAAAATAGGTGCCTTGTGAGAGGGTGTTTGAACTACGTATAATTTTTTTTTTAATTAAAAGGGACTATTTGATGTTGTTCGGCAAGATTAAGGAGCTTAGTCTGTCTAGTTTGTTTGAACAATGATTTGAATTCTCCCTTTTTTTCTATTACTCCGTTCTTTAAGATAAATATTTCTTAGTTGCAGCTCATATACATGCCCCATAACTATTATGATTGCTAGTGTAATGTTTTTCGAACTTTGCTTGTATCTCGGCAGTTGCCGATGGGGTGCTGGTATGGAATGATAGAGTGAAGGTGAAAGAGCAGAGAGTGAGTTGAAAACGGCACAGCTAAGTTTGCAAAAAGTAGGCTATTGAACACATAGCAGGTCGTAAATATGACTTGGAACTTGGAAGGATTATGGTGAAACTCCATGACATCACCTATTTGCTTAATGCGCCCATTTGGGTAACCTAATTAAGCTTTATTAGTTTATGAATTTATAAAAAAAAAATAAAAACCTATTCGCTTAATGCAAAACATTACGAGGCAAGTTTACAATGATTTATTATGAAATCAGGATGACTTAGATTTTAAGCTTCAAAATAAGTAATTCCAACTTAAATTGTTGAAAAGTTTGTGTTAGCAAAGCCGTTGTTAAGTAAAAAAACAGCAGATGTAAGGAAAACTTGCCTAACTTTCAACTGTAACAGCCCTTTTAGGAAGGCTACGGAAGGCTATCATGTGCAAGCTTCCTCCTAAAATGGAGCCTATTTTACTTACGATACTACTAAAATATTTCACACAAAATCATCCAACCAGCACTGTATGGATTATTTAGGCTCTCTAGTTGCTGGAACTCAGCTCAAGATTTTTATAAGTTGAGCAAATCTAAGCTCAATTTGATCGTAATTTTTTAGCTCATGTTGGAATTTGATTAAAGCATTTAAATTTTAAGCTCCAATAAGCTCAAGCCCCTTATGTAGGTGTTGCACCAATCCAAGTTGAGCCGACTCAACTGAGAAACCTATTGCTCGACTTGTTCCCAATAATGACAATAATATTGAAATCGGATACATGAACTAAGATTTTATCTCTTTTGACTGTCAATCATGATCTTGTGACTTCTATCTCTTTATTCCTTTTCTATCTAGTGCTACATGCACCTATAAACCCAAATTCTTTATGTGATTCTTAGATCTAGATATCCAAGTTATTTCCGAACTCCTTCGACCGTTCAATGTACTGTAACTTGTAAGATTTCCATGATCCCAACTCTTTATTATCCTTTCGGATGCTCTAACATAGTCACATGCCCAAACGCCCTCTATTTTGGACATAATCTTGTAGGTTATATTTTGGTGAAATTCTTCATATCTTTGAGGAACTGACCCGATGTGCTTAAAACACTCTCTTTTGGGTAGATTCTTAACATTAATGCTATACTACACACTCTCTTGACTTCCTCTTAGTATTAACCTCAATGTATCTAGTCTCATCCATCAACACAATATCATCTATAATACTGTTGCAAAGAGGAGTCCTTGTTTGATCCAATCGTAAGTGAAATATTTTTCGTTAACTAGTTAATGTACTTGCGTGGAATACTCTTCTTAGCCATTGCCCAACATAGCAGGTCGCCCGATACCAAATCAATAAACCAGTTGCGTGGAGTATAGTAATACAATTATACAAATAATTTTTCAAGTCAATGCAAAATTATTTTTCTCTAGATCAATAAGCCAGTTTCGTGAAGTATAGTACTCATACTACATAAAATCATAAAATGAAGTATTTAATGCTTCCTCCGTTTCAAAAACGTGTTCACATCAATGCAAAATAATTTTTCTCTAAATTAATACTCGTACTATGCAGTCTATATGATGAAGTTAACAAACCAGTTACGTGGAGTATAATACTCATAATTCACATAGATACAAAATCTATACAAGTAATTACTTGTAGTACTGTAATACTCTATTTGTACGATAAAGTTAATTATTCCCTCCACCCCTTTTTATAGTTCCTATTTGGACTTGCACGTTTGCCAATGCAACACTTTGATCATAAATATCGTTAGTTGCTTAATAGTAAAAAAATATAACAATTGAATATTAATAATTTATTCATCGAGACGAATCAAATAAGACCCAACATAACTATGTTATGTCTGATATATTAAGAGTAATTTAAAATATTCTCTTACATTATGAATAGTGTCAAGATTCCAAATGAGAACTTTACAAAGGAACGGAAGAAGTATTAAATTAGTTGCGTGGAGTATAGTACTCGTACATAGGAGCAAAGAACTTCTTTTAGGACAAATTTTGATCTAAAATAAACCAATTATTCACTTGTGTGACTTGTACCTATTTCGAATTTTTAAGAGTCGCATCAAAATGACAGTGATTAGTTTGCAGCAAGTATTGCCCTCAATGTGATTAATGTGCATTGGTTGAAAACTCAATCAACTAATTAGCCCACTACCTTTTCTTTTTAGGAATATGGAGGTGTAATAATCAAAGATAAGTCACATAATCATTCATCTAGAACCCTAGCTACTTTATTTCATAGCATAAAATAAACATGTGCAAAGACATTACACATAATACATATTGTGTCTGCCCCAAATTTTAAGCAAATTATGACAGGCGAAAGTGTGAATCTATGCTATCTTCTCTTTATTTGGCAAAACACTAGCTTTAGCTAGATTTCAAAATGTCTTTTTGCAATTACAATTACACAAGAGATCCATTGCCAAAAATTGGACCTTACTACTTTTCAACAATAATATAGATGGTTGAAAATATAAAAGCACCCACTCCGCTACTGATTTATAGTGTTATTTCTTTTTGCCGAATATTAACTTAAATTTTAGATAGGATTTTTTTGGTAAACATTACATTTGATCACTGCTTCATAAGCGTATGTTGAAGTATTTTTAATTTTTGTATATGACTTTTTCGTAAATAAAAGAAGAAAAAAAAGGGTTGTTTGGTAAATTAGTGGTCTAGTATATTTGTTATATTTGGGATCGTATAGTAGATTACTAGATTAGTAGGCCAGTTGGTGTAGTAAATTTGTTATATTTAGGATTGTATAGTAGGTCAAATTAAGGATATAACCAAAATGAAATTCTAATATATATTTTTATATTTGGTGATAAATGAAATTACAATATATAGTACTTTGTAGATGATAGATCTCAAGTTTTCGAAGTGAAAATAAAAATTAAAATGACCAAATAAAACTTTTTATATTTTCAAGGGAGGTCAAATAAAACTTGTCTAACCTCAAGTAGCCAAAATAAACATGTACTCCATAGTAATTCGTATTTATTTTGAATTCATAATCATAAATAAAAGTTGTTAGATTGGCCTTTATATTGAATTCATAATCATAAATAAAAGTTGTTAGATTGGCCTTTATTTTGAATTCATAATCATAAATAAAAGTTGTTAGATTGGCCTTTAAATTTGTAACAAGTAATTGTTATGTGCATGTAAAAAGAGGGAGGAAGATCTACTCCCTTGGGCCTCCACCCAGAAATATTACTATATTGGTTATGTAAGTACAATTTGTTGAACACGGGCTAATAATTACCTTTTCGTGGTACAATTTGTTGAATACGGGCTAATAATTTATCTTCGTCTTATATATGAAATTACGGAGTAATTTTCACGAAAAACACTTCTCAAAAGTCAACCATCTTAACTATTTAGGTCAACTTTTGAGAGTAGAGAGAGAAGGTAAGAGAATCTTCTACTCACAACTTCACAAGCATACGTATATATTGGAGGTCGGATAATTTTTAATATGTGTATAGTTCATAGTTACAAATATTACTTATGTATAATTTATTAACTATTAGTAAAACAAAGTTAATAATAGTTTTACTAATAGTTAATATATTACCACGGCCTACATGTTGCTCTCTTAATAAAATTATTCCAGACTAAATGCAAAGATGACGTCATTTTTTTTTTGAGCTATTATATTTAACGTTTTTAAAATTTAAATATTGGAAGCTTCCACATTACAGCTAAAACGTATCAATTTATTTTAGGAAATTAAAATAATTTTAAATGGCATACTAATAAATGACCTCTTACATTGAAATATGTATTAGTTGACGTTGAATCGTATTACTACCTCCGTGAATTATTATTTGCAACAAAGGAATATTTTATGTCTTACAAATAATACATTTTTGTTGCACATAATAATTAACGGAATTAGTATATCATAATTTTGATGAAAATCTAAAATTTTAAAATTACTTATTTTTTTGTACAAGGTTTTATTTAAACCATGCATTGTACTGATTCTAACCTAAGTAAATTGATAAACAAAAATGGCGGTGAGTGCACGTCTTTAATCACAAATAGTCGAATATGAGTAATAATTTGGAACACACGAATAGAACATTATAAAAGTGCAATAAACGACATACAAGACAGCTAAAGAAGGGCCCACTTTGGACCACCACCCAGCAACGATGTGGTTCAGGTTTAAGGGGCCATTAGCTAGGACCACTTTAAACCATCAGTCCACTAATTAGCCCTTCAACATTTTATTCAGCACAAGTGTACAACCAAGAACATGTCAGTAAATATCAGTAATTCTGTACTCTGAAGTTAGTATTTTTTTTTTTATATAAATTTATGACAGAATGAATCTCGTCCAATAATTTAAGATGCATTTTTATGGAAGTTAACCTAATTCTATGATGTAGGATAAAGTTTGTTCTTAGTTTCAGTCTGAAAAATCAATTAGTAAATTGGCAGAACTCAAAATGCTGCACAAAGTTATGTAGTAACACACATAGTTGGTTGATTAGATACTGCATTACCCAAATACAAGTGCATCAGAATTAAATTATATAAACTTGAATGAAAGGTTCTGTTCGCCGATTAAATTAGGCAACTACCAACAGACAAATTTGCTAATAAGGAACAATTACTAGTCTATGTGATACACGGGTACATGCTAATTATGTGAGATATATTCTCGTACAGTTCTAATTACCAAATAAGCTAGAGTAAAACATTAAACATGCTTATAGCTCGGACATCACAGGAAGGATGATCTCGAGGAATTGATCTTTGGCCTGCAGTTGTTTGTTGCTAAAGATTTTTTGAGTCTGTTTGATAGTAGACAACATCTCCGGTGTCGCTAACATAATGATCTTTCTTAAGACTGTTTAAGATAATACCGAATATGTATAGTGGAAGAGGTCCAGATTTCTTTGGTTCGCGGTAGTACTTCCCAAGTACTGGCTTTGCTGCTTTTGTCTGCAAGAACAATTCAAACTAAATGTCAGAAAACAGGGAAGAAATAAGTTTGTACTTAATAGACTTTCCTTGGTTACATAAATATACTCACTGCTTCTATTAGATGATAGTGTGGAATTTGTGGGAAAAGATGATGAATAACATGAGTTCCAATGTCATGGTGGATGTTGTTTAACAATCCATAATCACGGTCAAGTGTTGTAAGCCCTCCTCTAAGGTAACTCCACTCCTAGTAAGGAAAACGCGCAGACAAATATATCAGACTTCTGAATCAAAGATCCGAAAATTGTTGCAACAATATTATAACTAAAATCATGAATTCGTACTGTCCAAGAGCATAATTAAGCTGATAACATACCTCACCGCGGTACCAAGGAAGTTTTTCCTCATGGCCATGATGATGCAAATAAGTCACCAAGTCCAACCACATGACAAAAATCTAAAATGAATAGCAAATGCGTGAAAATCATGATGACTAGTTCAATAAGCTAATCATTTCTTCATTTTTTTTGGTAAAGAACAAATGAATTTTGGATATGAAATATCAGAACCCACCATATAGGGAACACCATAGAGCTTGAGCACCTGAATAGGACCCATGAAAAAAGACATTTCTACAAGCAATACAACCATTGCTGACCAACATAGTGTGGAAGTTACAACATCATTTTTCTCTTTCGATGTGAACAGATCACTGTCCGGATGGTAATGTGAGCCTGATTTACCAGGAGTTCGCGTCCACTGCAGTAAGATTAATCAGTTAATAGGTAAAACACAACGAAAATCAACGTGCAATTGTAAACATTAAGCTGGACTGTAAGCTCACCAGGTATACAGGGTATGCTAGCAAGGGAAATGGAAAAGTGAATCTTAACTTCTTTGTCATAAAATCCAAACTATTGTATATCGTTTCAGTCAACTGAAATGCACACACAAAAGATTAGGTTAATGACAAATCCTGCTACAAAAACAAGTCTTGGATGAGGCGAACTTACTATATTGTGAGACATTAAAAGTTAATCATACCCGTTCAAAATAAGTAAAAAGTAACCCTTAGAATAAATTACTAAATACGCAATCTACTTTTTGCTAAGTTCTTGTAAGTTCGCCATAAAAGTTTATATTTCTAAAAAAAATCAAGGAATGTAGAGTTGATAAGCTTACTGGGTGCCATGATTCATCATTCTCAACATGCCCATGGTTTTGATGATGAGTTCTATGACTAATTCTCCTATATAATTAGCAAAGAAAGGTTCAATCTTTCAGTTTCAAACTCATAATCATCATATAATAATAATACTCCGTATCCATTAACCAACCAAATTAAGCATAATATTAGTATAAATATATAACTTTACAACTTTTCATCTAAACAAACAAAATTGACATACCATCCATGATATGGAACAAGGATTGAAGAGTGAAGAAAGTGGCCCACAATGTTGTTAAGCTTTGGATTGTCAGAAAAACTTCCATGTCCACTGTCAAATACAACAAGAGCAACAACTAAAAAAATTACTCACATTATATCAACAAAGAACATATTCTACAACAAAAATAGAAGCAAAGCGAAGCAAAATTAGAATGTCACAACAACCTACATTGCAACCATGTACAACCAATTGACATTTAATACAACATTTTCCAAAAAAATACGTACTTCTTTTGCTACTTTGGTATAAAAAAATGCAACATACAAACAATAATGAAATCTTTTCTGGGGTCGAATAGGGCACGTACCCCGAACTCGTACAATAAAATTAAAAACTCACCAATCATGACCAAGAACAAAGAGAGCCCAAAACATAGTACCCTGAGCAATCCAATAAAGAGGCCAAAGAAACCAATTATTGAAGTAAGCAGCAACAGCAGCCAATGCAAAAACTACCACAACATCTCTAACAACATAACTCATAGATTTCCAAGGATCTTTAACCCAACAATGCTTAGGAATTGCATTTCTAATATCAGCTATATTGAATGGAGGTGGTGCACCTGGATTAAATTCTTCAAAAACCCCATTAAAGTTAAGATTTTTTTCATTGTTTTTGAGCATTTTTTCTGTATGAACTAAGTAGCATATGCTAATATTCGGCTACTAATTAAAACTAGGTACAAGTATACAGTATATATTTTTTGTAAATAAAATAAAAGAGAGATTTCCTTTCTTAGATTCTCTTATATAAAACCAAAAAATAAAATTTATGTGAATTAAGTATCAAGGTTTCATGACAATTTATACTGACATTCTGACAGTTGTTAGCATTTAATACATTTATGGAGTTTTAGTTGTTTATATTTATCAATTTCTACCGAACTTATCATTTTATTTTTGCATTACTAATTCCCCCACGATAAGGGATTCCTAACGTCATTTTCTTTTTACCTCTCAAATTATATACTTTCTCAGTTTTTTTTTTTTTTTTGCATCATAAGGGTTTTGAAGGCAAAATTTGTTAGTGAAAAAAGTGAGAGAAAGAAACGTAAAAATACAAAATTGTCCATGTAATGTAAATATAAATTAAAAAGTAAGTGTGCAAAAAATAAGGGTATGTTGGGTATTTGCAGTGTGAATATAGATATTTTTTGTTCAAAAATGAAAGTGATGTAATATTTGTGAAAGTTGTCTAAAAGACAAGTAATACTATATTAAAAGAATAGAAAAAGTATTATTTTATTTTATTTTATTTTTTGAATTAACTGGAAAAATTTGAGAGCTTAAGTATATGAATGGTATACAAGTGTACAACTGTAACGTTTATTAGATGAGCCATACCATACCCTCTTGGCGGCTCTAGCAACATATGGCAGGTTTTATCCTAGTATCACTCAGAGAATTAAGGTTTATTAAACTTAGGTATATAGGTGGCCATGAGTTTGGACATGCAAGCCCATGTGTCAAGTCATCAATGTATGTTTCGAACCAGTCAAGAAAAAGTTGTGCTATGTTAGCCTTGTGTCAATTTTTGTGTCAATGGGTTAAACCATTTTGTTGTGTTATTGTAAACTTTTGAAAATGATGTCCATACATAATCCATGACCTTTTAGGTGGGTGCTTCTCGTGCTGTGTTGAGCTTACAAGGAAAATCTGTGGCACGGGGAAAATACTCTGTATGCTATTTAGTAAACAAAATATTTTCGTAAGAAAAATTAACAAAATATGGATTTTATCATAACCTTGAGGTCAAATTCCGTGCACAACACTACCCTTTGCAATTTGCTGCTTGAATAATACTCCATTTGTCCCTATTTTTTTGCCTATTGCAGATAAATGAGTCAAACTTTAAGAACTTTGATCATAAATTCTCATTAATCAACAAGCGATAATATAGTTATGTGTGGTATTGTTAGATTCGTCGCTTTATATATTTTATTAATATTAAGTTTTTATAATTTTTACGCGTATAGAAATGAAGTTATATCGTTTTAAAACACGTCTTGAAAATCGTAAAAAGTCAAGTGGGGGCAAATAAATAGGATAGAGGGAGTACCAGTAAAACAAAAACAAACAAAAATTGTTGTGACTAATTCAACTTTTTAAGAGCCACATGGCTATGAGTCTATAAGTGTATGGGACGGATTGATTTGGTATTAGTAGTTTAACTTTTGCGATTAATGTGCATTGAAAATGCAATAACAAAATTGCATTTAAAAGCTACAAGCCTAAAATTCGTTGAATTGTTTGATCATGGAAATATAGTGAACATAAATTGCGTCTACCTATAAAATCAACTGCAAAAATCACTAAATAACGTGTGAAAGTTTTATGCACTCTTGTCTAAATTTAGCAAAGGCCTCATACGGTTACTCTGAACCCTAATTTGTGAAATAGAGACACTTACTTTCCACAATGAAATAGATGGTAGGTCTTTATGTAGGGCATTTGGAATTGGAATAACATTCTTTCATTTTCAAAACAATCTCATTACTATATACGAAGTAATACACTTTGATGTGTTTCTAATTTATGTAGAATAAATCAAAGTTCAAATATTATTTTTGGAATTTCGGTTGTAAACTTTATGTATTCCGTTTTACTTTACTATAAAGTAAACATTTAAATAACTATATGTAAATTTGCATACTTGATGTTAGAAGCAAAATCAACAACGAATGTATTGCTGTATTGGCATATATCCCAATGATTAATTAACATTAAGTCCATCGGATTCCACCATATTTAGTCACCATCACAACCCTCTACTCCTCCCATTACTCCTCTTGGCCCATCTCCAAAAGAAAGAATTATCTTAATTACAGCATAATCGAATAGTGCAATATATATCAATGAGCGTATCAAACATTGTAATTGGTGTTGTATGCCCTAGTTTTTGAAATTTTAAATAACTTATAAACTTTTTATTTACAAATAAAAACGTAGTTTACACCAAAAAATTTGAAAGGGCACTTGCCATACTTCAAATTTCAAATTTGTGAATAGTGAGAGATGTAAGTATATATTCTTAAGGGAAAAAAAAATATTAAGAGTAAAATTTAACCTAAAAACAATCAAAATCTATAACCCATATAAACATTAAAACTTCCATCAACTTGCTCTCTACTGTGCTTATGAACAGTGATTCTTGGTGCTATTACTCTACTGCCCCCAACAATAATGAATTGCCCAATTTGCCCTTTTCTTTTTTTGTTTTTTGATAGTATGTATGCTGCAAGCTGCTTCTGTGGGGCACGTTGCATGTTTGGTCAGTGCCAACTGCTTTTTCTGATGAATGAATTTTAAAAATTTTATTATTACGCAACGATTTTTTTTGCACAACCAAATTGTCCGGGTTAGGTAGGGAGGTGTCTTCAGAAGAATGGAGGTTGTTGTTGCCATGGCGGTGGTACTACTCATTGGTTGCCAGAAATTGCTACAGGAATGGTGGCGAAGGCTCAGGCAACCGCGGAAGTCACGAGGTTTGTTTACATGGATTTCATTGTTGTATTTTTTATTTGGGTATAGTTCATGTTTTGGTTTAATTGTAGATTAATTTACAATTTGGCCTTTGTTAGTCTTGTTAATTTAGCTAGCATTGTGTCTGTTGTCGGTGATCCCAAGTTGCAAATTCCATATTTTCTTGCTTTGTTTTAGTGTTGCCTATTATTAGAGTAGGTGACTTAGGTAGTAGCACTGTTGTACGATTACTTTGACTGATTTAGATTTTTTTTAAAAAAAAAAATTAAGGCGGTGTTGTTAGGGTTGGGAATTTACTCTATATATATATATAGATGCTTGGTGCTGGATGAGCTTGTGCATGTTTCTATTGTGGTTTCTGGTAGATCAGGATTTAGTTTTAGACAGTGTTCCATTTGTAAGTGCTTGTACTTTTGCACCGAACTAGAAGCTGGTTCTATGTCATATGCTTTGATTTCTTGGATAACCATGTATAACTAGAAGTTGTTCATGTAGGCCTGCTGGGAGAGTTGACTCTAGAACGCATTCAGCATTGGACTATGCTGATGTTTCACTTGACTGTACACAATTCCTAGGAGTTGTTGTCAGGAAAACTGGTGCTTGTGCAACTGCTGTTGAAAATACTTGGGTTGATGGCCATGGTTACATAGCCTGGGTTGTGGTGACTTGTCCACCTACTAACATGAGGAGGGAGTGTATTTTCAGCGAACCTTGTCTGACAGCAGCCATTGCTCAACAGAAGGTGGCAAAGAGAGCAGTGTTTTACATTGCCTGCCAATATAATTTAGAGATAGTTGATGCTAACTATGGTACTGCAGCAAAAGTAAGTGAAGAATGCTCTTTGGTTCAAAAGAAGTATTTCATTTTAAGAGAACATCTTGATTGTCTAGGAAAGCAATCTAGACAATCTGAGCCTTTAGGTGTTGCTGCCAATGCTGAGTGTGTCACTCCAACAGATGATGCAACAAAGATCCTTGTTAGTGAAGTACCTCCTCCTTGTCCAATCAAGCGCACCAATGTTGACAATGTTTATCGCCCAACAGCCTTGAGGATTGGAACATTTGAAGGCCTGGTGGCTGATATTCTTGAATTAGCAACACTTTTTAAAAAGCCTAAGTTAGATTAGATTTATGTTGTAGTATGTCATTGATGTACTTCAATGGCTTTAGAATATATATTTCTTTTTTTGGAAGGTTGGGGTACTTAATGTAGTGTTACCTTTTGCAAAGGGAAGCCTATTTTTCTTAGGAAGTTGTACGCAGAGCATGCTTTGAAACCATGTAATCATTTCCTTAATTATAAGAAAAAGTACTTATTCACTGTGTTTTGTACTTGTGCCCTTGATGTTTAATGGTGTTTGTTTATTGTTTGAAATTATATTCATTGATGTCAGCAGATGATAAAGCACTGAAATCATTTATGGTTGTTAGGTTACTGCAGATAGCTTAATTGCCTTTTCAGTAATCACTTTGCAGAGTTACATTATAATGGGTAGTTCCTTCTGTTCTTCACTCATTATATCAAGAATTTTATACTTATGGACAATACTAATATGAATAATGTAAACCTTTTATTGGAACTTCCTTTTGTATGGTAGATTGTCATTCTGGAATACCACGGTTATCTTGTAAGAGTTGTCAGCGATTAAATCAGGCTGCACAACAGTCATCTGAATCATCATCTGTTAGGTACTGAAACAATGATTAGTATTTACATTACAATTAGTTCTATGTTTCATACTGACTGCAACAATTTAACTTCTACATATAGTCCATCAATACATGATTCAACTCAGCTTATTCGAAGAGTGTCTAAAAAAAGACGTTCAATTGAAGAATCATCTTAATTTTACAAATATAGGTATACTATTGTTGTTAGTTAAAGTTCTGTGTCTAATATTTAATTATAACTTAAAGGCTAATCATAACTCAGAGAAGCACTTGTATTCAAAATCTGTCAATATTTGCCTATAGAATTAACCAGATTACTGTGCATGTTGTTTATTTTTGGATTTGCAAATTCTGCATACCATTGTCCATTTGTAATTTACTACAACTACTTTATGCACTGGTTAGAATTAGAATCATAGCCTTCAGCTTAATTTCCTTTCCTCTCTTTTCGACATCTGAGGGATGGAGGAAGAGCAGAAGAAGGGATATTTTAAAATTGGTTTTAAAATTTATTGTTCTTATTGCCTTTGTAAATATGCAGTGAACAAGAAATTGGTAGCACATCTCAAATGTAGTTGACTAAACGTAGTCGATGCACTAAAAAAAATGGAAGCGTACATGCAAAGAGGTATGTGTATATAAATATCAATTGTAATGATATTTAGACTAATTACATATTAAGTGTCTTTGATTACCTTGCAGTGGAAAAGGTATTACTGTGGCTAAGAAGGTGGTAAAAAAAGCTCCAAAACAAAAAGAAAAGTGTATGCTTTAAAATTACAGGCACAACTACCCTGTCTTGTTTTGTATCTTAGAAGCTTTTATGTACTTCCATTTATATATTGTATTGTACATAGGTATACTTGCAGAAATGATTGGTCAGCCACTACCCTAAAAGTCACATACTTTGTGTGCACCTCATTATTGTTTAAAATGCTATGCTAAATTTTTTTGAAAGTGAGACTGTCCATTTTTGCTGTGGTGATGGAGATATCCAACTAGCTGTAAATGAGTACCCTCCTGAACTTATTCGCTTATACACATCACTGGAAGAAGATGTTGTACACTTTCGAAAGTATGCTCGGTTATATAATAATCTATTTGCATTTAGTTCCATAGGTGGAAACTTTGATACAAGTACATACAAGGGCATTTATGTGTTCAAGTTGCATGGCCAACTATATCATTTTGTACCTAATTTATTACCTGATGATGGGCCACCTAAAAGCTTGCAACTGTATTTCTATGATGGCCAACATGAAGCTGAGAATAGGGTTGGGTCTTTTCCATAATTAAGGCAAGATATGATTGATATTCTTATGAGTGTTTCTCAGCAGAATCCTTACGCTGCATTTTTTCGTTCTTTAAAAGAAAGAGATGTAGCTGAAGACACACGTATTGTATTGAATAAAAATATAGTATATGATCAACGTTTGTACAATGCCCTAGTTGTTGATGATGTTGCTGTGATTTGGCCAGACAGTGCTTCATCAAGTGATACTTTAAGCCCTCACATACTTGTATCTGGTAAATCTTGTGAATCTCATCGAATCTATCACAACTATGGGTGTTATGACCCATTACAATATCCATTGTTATTTCCTCGTGGAGAATGTGGTTGGATGCAAGGGCTAAAGAAAACATATCATGCTGACAGAAGGCAAGCAAGTTTATACCCTGATCCAATAATGTCATGCGTTGTCCACGCTGTTGAAGACTTGTTGAGTTAGGAAGAAATACGTAAGTACATGATTATATTTATGTTTAAGTGTATTATTATATTCAAATACTTAAAAACATGCATTTACAATTTACAGGAGCAAAGACGAAGCATACGCGTGCTAAAAAATTCATTCCTCCAAGAGAATATTATGCATATAGATTGCAAATACAGCCTAACAATTTCTTGCTGAGAGCTGGTAGATGTTTACAACAATACATTGTTGACATGTATGTCAAGATAGAGAATACAAGGCTTGACTATCTGCGCAATAACCAGTCAACCATTAGTGTTGATTTATATCAAGGAATCCTTGATTCTCTAGATATTGGAGAAACTAAAGTGCACAATGTTGGTCGAAGAGTAATCCTGCCTCCAAGTTTCATAGGAGGTCCTCGGGATATGAAAAAACGGTATCTTAATGCCATGGCTTTTGTGCAGAGATTTGGTAAGCATGATTTGTTTGTCACTATGACATGTAATGCTAACTGGCCAGCAATAAAGTCCGAATTAGCACCTGGTGAAGCAGCCCAAGATCGTCCTGATTTAGTAACACAAATCTTTAGAATAAAACTACTTGCATTGAAAAGAGAAATTATGGAGAAAAAGGTATTTGATACGGTTGCAGCTATGGTGTATGTTGTAGATTTTCACAAACGAGGCCTTCCACATGCTCATTTCTTGATAATCTTAAAACCAGAATTCAAGCTGAAGTGTCCTGCTGATTATGATATATTTGTATGTGCTGAAATTCCAGATACTTCTAACCCTATTCTTCACAGGATTGTTCTAGCACACATGATGCATGGTCCATGTGGCTCATTAAATCCGCATTATCCATGTATGCGAAAAGAAGGGCAAAAGCTAAACTGTAAGAATAAATTTCTTAGACCATATGCATCTAAAACAAGTACAAATAAGGATGGTTATCCTATATATCGAAGAAGAACCACTGGGGAAAATGTCACTATTCGTGGTGCACAGCTAAACAACGAATGGGTGATTCCTTACAATCCTTATTTGTCTATGTTGTTTGATTGTCATATTAACGTCGAAGCTTGCTCTACAATCAAGGCAGTAAAATATCTCTATAAATATGTTTACAAGGGATATGACAGGATTTCTTATAATGTTCGCCCTGCTGATGATGATTCTGTAGATGAAATTGAACTATATCAGTTAGGAAGATGGGTTTCTCCATGTAAAGCTGCTTGGCGAATATTTGGTTTTGATTTGTTTGAGATGTCTTCATTAGTATTACCTTTACAAGTTCAGCTACCCAATATGCAGACAGTTCATCTTTGGCCACATGAGAGGTTAAACACTGTTATTTCTGACTCTAAGCGTTCAAGGACTCAACTAACCGAATTCTTTGCAATGAATGTTGCAGTAGAAAGTGGTACTGGTTATCTATACAGTGAATTCTGTGAACATTTCAAATGGGATGCAAAGGCTAAAGAATGGACTGACAGAGCTACAAATAGACATGTAGTAGGAAGATTTGCTTTTGTATACCCTGTAGAAGGTGAACGTTTTTTCTTGCGCCATTTATTGTTGAACGTTAGAAGTCCTACATCTTTTGAGAACTTACAAACTGTAAATGGTTATGTTTGTCCTACTTTTCAAGAGGCTGCTCTTAAATTACGCTTAGTAGAAGAAGATGATGTAGCAGATTTAGCTTTGACTGAAGCTTCTGAAGTTCAACACCCAGTAGCCTTGCACCGTTTGTTTGCAACAGTGCTCATATTTTGTCAAGTGAGTGATCCATCTGGTTTATGGAAAAAAATTTCCCTTCCTTATCTGAGGATATCTATTACAGATATCCAGATGATATGCAAAAAGTCCATCAGCTGACTATTAGGTCTCTTGAACAACATCTTGAAGCAATGGGAAAATCATTAGCTACATTTGGCTTAGATCACTTAAATAGCCAAGTTGATGATAATTTCAGAAGACAAAGGATATTATAGATGCTCTTGATGCGCCTATTCCAGAGGAGTGCCTTACATGTCGATCGAGATTAAATTCTGCACAGAATGCTGCTTTCAAATGTATCATGGAATTTGTCACAAAAGGGAAATCAGGTGCTTTTTTCATAGATGATCCTGGAGATACGGGCAAAACTTTCTTATATAATGCCTTGTATGCAGAGATTCGCTTGATGAATAAAATTGTATTGCCCACAACAACCTTAAGTATTGCTGCAGCAAATATTCCCTCGGCCGTACAGCTCATTCAAGGTTTAAAATACCTCTTGACAGTGACATATCCTTAGCATGTGTTGTTCCTAAACAGGGTAGTTTAGCAGCACTTCTAAGGGCAACCACATTAATTATATGGGATGAAGCTTCAATGGAAAAAAAAAACAAAATATTGAATCCCTTGATTTATTATTACAAGATATATGTAACACAACAACTGCCTTTGGTGGGAAGGTAGTTGTCTTTGGAGGTGATTTCAGACAATTTCTACCAGTTGTTCCTCAAAAAACAATGAAAGAGGCAGGTAGACACAAGTATTGTCACTTCACATTTATGGGAGATATTCATTAAGTTTAAACTTACAAAAAATATTTGAGCACGAGAAGATCCTGCATATTCCTCTTTCTTACTTGCCTTGGGCAATGGTCAATTACAGTCCACTGAAATCGCATTTGTTGATTTGCCATTCAAGTTACATATTCTCTTGAAGATGACACAAGCTTAATAACTAATCTGACATAAACGACATTCCCTGAAATCATGCAAGGTGGCTTTGTGGATGATGTTTTCATAACAAGGGCAATTTTAACTCCAATGAATGATGATGTTGATTCTATCAATTCAGTTATGATTGACAAGTTCCCTGGTGACATTGTCACTTACAAGAGTTTTGATATTATGCTAAATGATACATGCAGTATATATCCCACAGAGTTTATGAACAAACTCTGTCCAGGAGGTATGAGTCCACACGAACTTGTACTGAAAAAGAATTGCCTAGTGATATTGCTACGGAACATCTTACCATCATCAGGCTTATGTAATGGCACTTAACTTATTTGCAAAAGATTCTTTCCAAATGTGATTGAATGTGTAATTGCAGTTGGACATTATAAAGGGGAACATGTCTTCATTCACAGAATTAATCTAAGGCCTTCAAGTTCTACTAATTATCCGTTCCAGTTTGAATGGAGGCCGCAGTTCCCTATCAAGTTGAGTTTTGCAATGACAATCAATAAGTCTCAAGGACAAACACTCAATCAAGTGTCAATATACTTACCTCGCTCTTGCTTTTCTCATGGTCAATTGTATGTTACACTCTCTCATGCCAAGAAAGCAAGAGATGTTCAGGTCTTATCTGCTAAACCACCAGACCAATATCCACATAATGCTATCAAAAATGTAATGTCATATGAAGTTTTGCGATTAGCTGGTATTATTTAATATGTTATGGAAACTAGTACTTCATCATGTTCTCCACCATGGTTAAGGTTATTCAATTTTGAGGTAGTCTTCCTATCTTTCTAACACAAATAAATATGCTTGCAATTACATTCAATTATTGATTTCAATGTCATGTTGCTTTACACATTAATTCATTAATTTTGACAATTACTGGTTTACATTTGCAGGGTCTTCATATTTTGGATTCTGCTCAAACTGAAGGTTAGAATGCTATGAATAAGGTAAATAAAAATAGTCTAAACTTGTAATGTATGGAGCTTGCTATGGTAAGAACCTACTGTACTTTTAAAAAGTATTCTACAGACTAAGAGTATTTGATTACATAGCTATTATTTATGTTGTATAGGTAAAATAGGAACAAATGTTTGTATTAGTGCAGATTAGAAGTTTAAATTTTCAGTTTCAATCAGATAAGTACATGTAGCTTATACAAATATGCTTATATAAAAAATGTATTTAATGAGTTCCTTCTTATATTATTTATTTCTCAACTAATGGCTACAATTTGGGTATGACCTAGAACCAATTTACATGCAACCCACAATGATAAAATGCTATATCCAAAGGCCTGGGCTATATTGTTTTGAGATTGAATGGCTAAATGTTATGTTACAGGATAAAAAAAATAATAATAAAAAATAAAAAAAAGAGTTGAATTATACAAGTACAATTGTAGTTATCTTATTTTACAAGCAACATAGAGAATGGTCAAGTTAACTGTAGATATAACACTTGTAAAATTTGTATATAGTATAAGTACTTTTGCTAGATAATTTTCTTACTTAAATTTATATCTTGTACTTTATCTATTTTATAGCCACAAAAAATAAACAAATTTTAAAAGATTACCTACTCTCTATCACTTGTTAATTATTTTATAAATGTAAGAGAAAAGCAAAATACCAATCAAACAAGTAAATTAATTACCTCTTATGTACTACACTACTGTTGCTAGACATACTAAGTATGGCTGCTACAGTCCTTAACAGTAATTGTTGCTACAGAGCACCGACTTTGATAGCTTCGTTTTGCCTATAAATGCTTTAGTACTTATTGCTTTCAAACTACCACTTCAACTGCTGAGAACTCTTCTTTGATAAAGGTATATCTTCTACCTTTCACTCACTATTAATTTCTTTTTTATTTATAGATATTTTACACGTTGAATTGAACTACTTGACATGAATATGCTTCACTATTAGTTATTTAATATCCACATTTATGTCAAATTGTTCTTTATACATGTCTGCTATACAACTTTCCATACTAAGATCCCCATGCTATTAAATTCCCTGCTTTCTGTTTTCATTCTCATTTGCATGTTGCACTTTAAGCTAACCATTACACACGTATCATAATTGCATGAATCCTGTGCTCTCCATATTCTTTAAAAGTTTAGTTTGTTAGTTGTTCAGATTCTACTTCCTACATGCACTACATATTTCTTCAGTGTCTACACTATCTTAAGCATCTTTGCCTTACATGATTCTTTCTCTATTTGCATTATCCATGTGAAGTAAACAATTATAATGCAATTAATGACAAAAATATAATACTATCTCCTTGAAAGTTTTGGATATATATATATATATATATATATATATATATATATATATATATATATATATTTTTTATATATATATATATTAGCACTTTTGTGAATAATCTATCACTTCTTGGGATAATTTATCATTTCCTGTATTTTTAGCTTTACTTTTCCTTTCAAAAACCTTCACCACTTACACCATTGGACCTCAGTAACATGCAATCATATATTATCCCCTTTCTAAATCATTAGGCATGTGCAGATTCTTAGCTGCTTCAGTAATTCATAATCTAACCTATTGTTATTTGTAGCTCTGCAAAAACATATCCAGCTAAGTTAACCATAAACTCGTGCACTGTGAAGCTGGAACTAGTATACTTAGATGAACTAACTCCTTAGAGCAAAGATTATAGAGTAAAGGTTACAGTGACTGAAAAAGGTATAGCACGGCCTTCTCCAAAAAAATCAGGGACACTACATTAGACATTGATCCTTGAAGATGAGAAGGTATCAATTTCTTAGAACTATAACCAAGTTTATATGTTTATTGTATTTTATATTCTATTGAAATCTTGATAACCCCAAGTTATTTGATATATTTCCTTAAAATTACTAGCTATTATGCAATAAGTCTAGAAATTTTAAACATATTTGATTTGATGCATCGTTATATGTAGCATGATTTCTATGTTTATATTTTTCACAAAAATACTTACATGTTCATACAAATTCCATGTACACAACATGTGTTACTAAGTTGGACTCTAAATTATATCTACAAAACGAAAGACAAAAAAGGAAAAAGAAAAAAAAAAGGGAAAGAAGAATTAACCACATCATCTGCACACCATTTCACAATATTATGAACTCAACAATTAGAATTAATAAGTAGCAATAAATAAAAAAATCACATACCAAGTTTTAATATTTGATGAAAAATACTTATTCATAATGATTTTAATGATCATCTTTTTTTATTTACATATTTAACAGGAAAATAAGATGCGCTGTGCTTTATTTGGAGAACAAGTACAAGCTTACCACGATGTTTTCCACACAACTGCAAAATATGAAATCTCTAAAGCACCTATTTCTCCTGTTGATGATCAATACAAGATCAATTTGGAAGAGCTTCCATATCAAATGACAATTGGACATCAGACTGTTGTGCAGCGCTTGGATGCTGAAACTGGTCCTATACTGCCTAAATATCATCCCCTAGCAAGTATTCCAAGGGCACCTGAACCTGATGCTAGATATGGTAATATCTTAAACAACATCATTACATAATTTCATCTCCAATATATTAATGCTTTTACAATTTTCCAATTTAACCTTTTTCTCCATAATTTAGATGTAGTTGCAGTAGTCCTTTTTGTTGAAGAACAAACACAAATGATTCCCAATTCTCGGGGCCGTGAAAGTCCTGTTCGTGAAATAGTCATCACTGACTCAAGGTTCACCTATTCATGAATTTCATTACAATTGTATTTGGTTCTTTATAAATAAATACAACATATCATTAACCTTTTTTTTTTCCTCCTTGCACCAGCCAAGATCATTCTGTGACAGTTTCTACATGGAATGATCTTACCATCAATGCCTGCAATGAACTAAATAATTAGGCTGCATCATTCAATATTGTTGGATTCACTGCTCTAAAAGCCTTAACTGCAAGAGGTTGATCATCAGAACTTTAAATTACAAATCAAAGTATACAACATATAATATGCTTATTTATGGATACAAATCTATTGTGCAGGATTTACTTTGACAACTACTATGTCTACTCGAATTATCCACGAACCAGAACAAACAAGAGTAAATCAGATATGCTTTGTGAGTGGTAGTTCATTTACACTTTTCACATTGCATTGTTATATAGTAATTTTATGCACACTGGATACTTAGTCATCCTTTTTCTTAAATGCAAGATCAAGTTATACCCACAAGTATTACAAGATAGGCAAGCAAGTGTCTTGAATATCAGATATTTAAGTGCTGAGAAAACAATCATCACTATAGTAGATTTGAGGAACAAAAAGGTTAGTTTCCTTCAAACTATATAATCAGCTACTGCTATTGATATAACATTTATATCGTGCTGCAAATATCACTGTACCTTACTAACCAAGGTTAATTAATACTTAAACACATTTATAGCCCAGAAGTGTTGAGCAAGATGAAACATTCTGGATCAAAGTGATTATTCCAGAACCTGACCTGGGCAAAGTTTATGCATATGCTGGTTGTGTCAATTGCAGTAAACGAACTAATCTTCAT